CCCTACTTATACATCCCAAAATGCCATTGGCCTTCTTGGCAACAAGGGCACACTGCTGACTCATATCCAGCTTCTCGTCCACTGTCACCCCTAGGTCCTTTTCCGCAGAACTGCTGCCTAGACATTCGGTCCCTAGTCTGTAGCTGTGCATTGGGTTCTTCCGTCCTAAGTGCAGGACCCTGCACTTATCCTTATTGAACCTCATCAGATTTCTTTTGGCCCAATCCTCCAATTTGTCTAGGTCCTTCTGTATCCTATCCCTCCCCTCCAGCGTATCTACCACTCCTCCCAGTTTAGTATCATCTGCAAATTTGCTGAGAGTGCAATCCACACCATCCTCCAGATCATTTATGAAGATATTGAACAAAACCGGCCCCAGGACCGACCCTTGGGGCACACCACTTGATACCGGCTGCCAACTAGACATGGAGCCATTGATCACTACCCGTTGAGCCCGACAATCTAGCCAGCTTTCTACCCACCTTGTAGTGCATTCATCCAGCCCATACTTCCTTAACTTGCTGACAAGAATACTGTGGGAGACCGTGTCAAAAGCTTTGCTAAAGTCAAGAAACAATACATCCACTGCTTTCCCTTCATCCACAGAACCAGTAATCTCATCATAGAAGGCGATTAGATTAGTCAGGCATGACCTTCCCTTGGTGAATCCATGCTGGCTGTTCCTGATCACTTTCCTCTCATGTAAGTGCTTCAGGATTGATTCTTTGAGGACCTGCTCCATGATTTTTCCAGGGACTGAAGTGAGGCTGACTGGCCTGTAGTTCCCAGGATCCTCCTTCTTCCCTTTTTTAAAGATTGGCACTACATTAGCCTTTTTCCAGTCATCCGGGACTTCCCCGGTTCGCCACGAGTTTTCAAAGATAATGGCCAATGGCTCTGCAATCACAGCCGCCAGTTCCTTCAGCACTCTCGGGTGCAACTCGTCCGGCCCCATGGACTTGTGCACGTCCAGCTTTTCTAAAAAGTCCCTAACCACCTCTATCTCCACAGAGGGCTGGCCATCTCTTCCCCATTTTGTGATGCCCAGCGTAGCAGTCTGGGAGCTGACCTTGTTAGTGAAAACAGAGGCAAAAAAAGCATTGAGTACATTAGCTTTTTCCACATCCTCTGTCACTAGTTTGCCTCCCTCATTCAGTAAGGGGCCCACACATTCCTTGGCTTTCTTCTTGTTGCCAACATACCTGAAGAAACCCTTCTTGTTACTCTTGACATCTCTGGCTAGCTGCAGCTCCAGGTGCGATTTGGCCCTCCTGATAACATTCCTACATGCCCTAGCAATATTTTTATACTCTTCCCTGGTCATATGTCCAACCTTCCACTTCTTGTAAGCTTCTTTTTTATGTTTAAGATCCGCTAAGATTTCACCATTAAGCCAAGCTGGTCGCCTGCCATATTTACTATTCTTTCGACTCATCGGGATGGTTTGTCCCTGTAACCTCAACAGGGATTCCTTGAAATACAGCCAGCTCTCCTGGACTCCTTTCCCCTTCAAGTTAGTCCCCCAGGGGATCCTGGCCATCCGTTCCCTGAGGGAGTCGAAGTCTGCTTTCCTGAAGTCCAGGGTCCGTATCGTGCTGCTTACCTTTCTTCCCTGTGTCAGGATCCTGAACTCAACCAACTCATGGTCACTGCCTCCCAGATTCCCATCCACTTTTGCTTCCCCCACTAATTCTACCCGGTTTGTGAGCAGCAGGTCAAGAAAAGCGCCCCCCCTAGTTGGCTCCTCGAGCACTTGCGCCAGGAAATTGTCCCCTACGCTTTCCAAAAACTTCCTGGATTGTCTATGCACCGCTGTATTGCTCTCCCAGCAGATATCAGGAAAATTAAAGTCACCCATGAGAATCAGGGCATGCGATCCAGTAGCTTCCGTGAGCTGCCGGAAGAAAGCCTCATCTACCTCATCCCCCTGGTCCGGTGGTCTATAGCAGACTCCCACCACTACATCACTCTTGTTGCACACACTTCTAAACTTAATCCAGAGACACTCAGGTTTTTCTGCAGTTTCGTACCGGAGCTCTGAGCAGTCATACTGCTCCCTTACATATAGTGCTACTCCCCCACCTTTTCTGCCCTGCCTGTCCTTCCTGAACAGTTTATAACCATCCATGACAGTACTCCAGTCATGTGAGTTATCCCACCAAGTCTCTGTTATTCCGATCACATCATAATTCCTTGACATCACCAGGACCTCCAGTTCTCCCTGCTTGTTTCCAAGGCTTTGTGCATTCGTATATAAGCACTTGAGATAACCTGCTGATCGCCCCTCATTCTCAGTATGAGGCAGGAGCCCTCCCCTCACAGACATTCCTGCCTGTGCTTCCTCCCGGTATCCCGCTTTCCCACTTACCTCAGGGCTTTGGTCTCCTTCCCCCGGTGAACCTAGTTTAAAGCCCTCCTCACTAGGTTGGCCAGCCTGCTCGCGAAGATGCTCTTCCCTCTCTTCGTTAAGTGGAGCCCGTCTCTGCCTAGCACTCCTCCTTCTTGGAACACCATCCCATGGTCGAAGAATCCAAAGCCTTCTCTCCGACACCACCTGCGTAGCCATTCGTTGACTTCCACGATTCGACGCTCCCTACCTAGGCCTTTTCCTTCCACGGGGAGGATGGACGAGAACACCACTTGCACCTCCAACTCCTTTATCCTTCTTCCCAGAGCCACGTAGTCCGCAGTGATCCGCTCAAGGTCATTCTTGGCAGTATCATTGGTGCCCACGTGGAGAAGCAGGAAGGGGTAGCGATCCGAGGGCTTGATGAGTCTCGGCAGTCTCTCCGTCACATCGCGAATCTTAGCCCCCGGCAAGCAGCAGACTTCTCGGTTTTCCCGGTCAGGGCGGCAGATAGATGACTCAGTCCCCCGGAGGAGCGAGTCCCCGACCACCACCACCCGCCTTCTCCTCTTGGGAGTGGTGGTCGTGGAACTCCCAACCTCAGGACAGCGCATCTCATGCCTTCCAACCAGCGGAGTCTCCTTCTGCTTTCTCGCCCCAGACATATCATCTGGTCCGCTCTCCGCAACGATACCTGTGGAGAGAACATGAAAGCGGTTAGTTACCTGTGGCAATGTTCCTCCAGAGGTCAGACGGAGGATTGAAGACCGAATGGAGGAGATGCAGCTGCCTTTTATACTCTCTCTCGTGGGTGGAAACCCCTTGGTTCTCCTGTGTAAGATCACAGCAACAAGATGGAGTTTGGAGTCACATGGGCAAGTCACATGTCCATGCATGACTCAGTTCTTTACAGGCGGACGCCATTGTTTACATGTTAGTTTGAATGTTCCCAGGAAAGCTCAGATGTGGATTGGTGTCTCCCAAGGTCCATTGTGCGTTAAGTGTTTCTTGATTGGTCACTTACTGAGAATAGGTTTCAGAGTAGCAGCCGTGTCAGTCTGTATTCGCAAAAAGAAAAGGAGTACTTGTGGCACCTTAGAGACTAACCAATTTATTTGAGCATAAGCTTTCGTGAGCTACAGCTCACTTCATCGGATGCAGTGAGCTGTAGCTCACGAAAGCTTATGCTCAAATAAATTGGTTAGTCTCTAAGGTGCCACAAGTCCTCCTTTTCTTTTTGCGAACCTCTCCATAGACACCTTACACGACAACCTTTGTACAATATTTGCTGCAAATATATACCAGTGTCTGGAACAATGATCTATACGGTCACAGATTATATCAATAACATCACATGCCCCCCTGGGGCTCCTTGTCTCCTTTCCTCAACAGTTTTCACAGCGGAGAGAGGTAAATAGTGGGGTCCCCCAGGGATCTGTCCTGGGACCAGGGCTGGCCAGCAGATTAAATTTGCAGATGTTACAAAACTACTCAAGATAGTTAAGTCCAAATCAGACTGCGAAGAGCTACAAAAGGATCTTTCGAAAGTGGGTGACTGGGCAACAAAATGGCAGATGAAATTCAATGTTGATAAATGCAAAGTAATGCACATTGGAAAACATAATCCCAACTCTACATATGAAATGATGGGGTCTCAATTAGCTGTTACCAGTCAAGAAAGAGATCTTGGAGTCAGTGTGGATAGTTCTCTGAAAACATCCACTCAATGTGCAGCGGGAGTCAAAAAAGTGAACAGAATGTTGGGAATCATTAAGAAAGGGATAGATAATAAGACAGAAAATATCATATAGCCTCTATATAAATCCATGGTACACCCACATCTTGAACACTGCATGCGGATATGGTCGCCCCATCTCAAAAAAGATATATCGGAATTGGAAAAGGTTCAGAAAAGGGCAAAAATGATTAGGGGTCTGGAATGGCTGCAGTATGAGGAGAGATTAATAAGACTGGGACTTTTCAGCTCGGAGAAAAGACAACTAAGAGGGGATATGATAGAGGTCTATAAAATCACGGCTGTTGTGGAGAAGGTGAACAAGAAAGTGTTATTTACTCCTTCCCATAATACAAGAACTAGGGGTCACCCAATGAAATTAACAGGTAGCAGGTTTAAAACAAACAAAAGGAAGTATTTCTTCACACAATGCACAGTCAACCTGTGGAACTCCTTGCCAGAGGATGTTGTGAAGGCCAGGACTGTAACAGGGTTAAAAAAAGAGCTAGATAAGTTCATGGAGGATAGGTCCCTCAATGGCTATTAGCCAGGATGGGCAGAGATGGTGTCCCTAGCCTCTGTTTGCCAGACGCTGGGAATGGGTGACAGGGGTGGATCACTTGATGATTACCTGTTCTGTTCGTTCCCTCTGGGGCACCTGGGATTGGCTGCTGTCAGAAGACCTGTCCTACCCAGCCTGGCTGCTCTTATGTTCTTAACCACCCAGCCCACCCCCGGGCCTTTTGTCCCCTTTCCTGAGCACCCCGCCCCAGGGAGCTCTTGTCCCTGTTTACCTTAACTCTGACACCCTGTCCCCGCTCCGGACTCTGCCCAAGACCCCTGGGCCCTTGGCTTGGTGGCTCGGCTCCCACCCCATGGCGGGGTTTTTACCTGGTGTTCCCTGTTCCTGTCTCACAGCGAGAGAGCCTGACCCCAGCACCCCCAGCTGGCATCACGAGGTCGAAGTCGAAGCATGAGCTGAAGCTGCTGGAGAAGATCCCGGAAAACGCAGAGGCCACGGTGGTGCTTGTGGGTAAGGGCAGGTGGGGCTGGCTGGGCAGAGGGGCCAAGGGGCCCAGGGCTGAGGCTGTGCCGAGCCCGCCGGCCGATGGGGGGCAGGGTTGGACGTGGCAGCCAGGCCCTTCTGCGGGCGAGTGTTGGCTCGGCTCCCCCTTGCTGGGGGCCGCCAGTGAGCGCTGACTGGCCTGTGGCCCGCAGGCTGCGTGGAGTTCCTGGACCAGCCCACCATGGCCTTCGTGCGGCTGCAGGCGGCCGTGGAGCTGGACTCAGTGCTGGAGGTGCCCATCCCCGTCCGCTTCCTCTTCGTGCTGCTGGGGCCCAGCAGCGCCAACATGGACTACCACGAGATCGGGCGCTCCATCTCCACCCTCATGTCCGACAAGGTAACTCCCCCACCTGCCGGCTCCCCCGCTGCCTGCCGGCTGCTCCCCACCAGCTCCATCTCCACCCTCATGTCCGACAAGGTAACTCCCCCACCTGCCGGCTCCCCCGCTGCCTGCCGGCTGCTCCCCCCGGCTCCATCTCCACCCTCATGTCCGACAAGGTAACTCCCCCACCTGCTGGCTCCCCCCCTGCCTGCCGGCTGCTCCCCACCAGCTCCATCTCCACCCTCATGTCCGACAAGGTAACCCCCCTTGTCTGCTGGCTCCCCCTCTGGCCTGCTGGCTCCTCCCTCCCCGGCTCCATCTCCACCCTCATGTCCGACAAGGTAAACCCCCCTGCCTGCCGGCTCCCCCTCCGGCCTGCCGACTTCTCCCCCCAGCTCCATCTCCACCCTCATGTCCGACAAGGTAACCCCGACCCAGCCTGCCAGCTCCCCCCAGCCTGCCTGCTCCTACCCCCGCCCCAGCTCCATCTCCTCCTGCTGGCTCCCCCCCAGCCCGGCCTGTTGTGGGGCCTCAACTCCCCCGCCCCAGTTCCATCTCGGCTTTCACCCTGATTGGAGGGTAGGGCCGTGGGTCCCAAGGCTCTGCCCCCAACCCTGGGGGTTCCTCTGGGCCCAGCCGTCTCCCACTTTCCTTCCTTGTGGGCTGGACACGTGGTCATCCTGCCCCAGGGCCCAGCCCCCCGAGGATCCGTGTTCTCCTGGCCCACGGCCAGCGCACGGCGCCTCTGACCCGGCAGGTTACCCCCCCCAGCAATTCCACGAGGCGGCGTATCTGGCCGACGACCGGCACGACCTGCTCAGCGCCATCAATGAGTTCCTGGACTGCAGCGTGGTGCTGCCTCCCTCCGAGGTGCAGGGCGAGGAGCTGCTGCGCTCCGTGGCCCACTTCCAGCGCCAGATGCTCCAGAAGCGAGAGGAGCAGGAGCGCCGGCTGCTGCTGGGCACCATGCTGGAGCCCAAGTCGCCTGCCGAGAAAGGTACCGGGCCCAGGGCGGGGCCGGCGGCACCCCCCTGCCAGGCCCCATGGCGTGGGGCTGGGGTGGGGCTGCAGCTCCCTCTGCCCTGCCAGGCCCCATGGCGCGGGGCTGGAGTAGGGCTGCAGCTCCCCATGGCATGGGGCTGGGGTGGGGCTGGGGCTGGGGCCGGGCAGGCGAGGCTCCCCCTGCCCTGCCAGGCCCCATGGCGCGGGGCTGGGGTGGGGCTGCAGCTCCCTCTGCCCTGCCAGGCCCCATGGCGCAGGGCTGGGGTGGGGCTGGGGCTGGAGCCGGGCAGGCGAGGCTCCCCCTGCCCTGCCAGGCCCCATGGCGCGGGGCTGGGGTGGGGCTGCAGCTCCCTCTGCCCTGCCAGGCCCCATGGCGCGGGGCTGGAGTAGGGCTGCAGCTCCCCATGGCATGGGGCTGGGGTGGGGCTGGGGCTGGGGCCGGGCAGGCGAGGCTCCCCCTGCCCTGCCAGGCCCCATGGCGCAGGGCTGGGGTGGGGCTGGGGCTGGGACCGGGCAGGCGAGGCTCCCCGTGCCCTGCCAGGCCCCATGGCGCAGGGCTGGGGTGGGGCTGGGGCTGGGACCGGGCAGGCGAGGCTCCCCCTGCCCTGCCAGGCCCCATGGCGGTGGGGCTGGGGCTGGGTGGGCACCTAACTGGCTGTCTGTGTGAGCAGCGCTGCTGAAGCTGAAGGTGGTGGAGGGGGAGGCAGAGGACGAGGACGACCCCCTGCGGCGCACGGGCCGGCCCTTCGGGGGGCTCGTCCGTGACGTGAGCCGGCGCTACCCCAAGTACCTGAGCGACTTCAGGGACAGCCTGAACCCGCAGTGCGTCGCCGCCATCATCTTCATCTACTTCGCCGCTCTCTCGCCGGCCATCACCTTCGGGGGGCTGCTGGGTAAGGGGTGGGGGGGGCAGCTGGGAAAGAGCCGCCAGGCCGGGGGGGGGGGGAGGCTGCTGCGTAAGAATCACCCAGGGGGAGGCTCCTGGCTAAGGAGGACTGGGGGGTGGGGGGGCTGGGTAAGGGCCACGGGGCGGGGTAGGTGTCATGCCCCTGCCTGTCTGTTCTGGGAACACCTCCCTAGGGGGCAGGGGCTGGCCGGGGGGGACTTGGGGATCCCATGTAGCTGGGGGGTCACTAGGGAAGGAGTCCGGGGCCTGATGCCACCAGCAGGGCGGGTGGATGGGGAGGGACGTGAGGCCCATTGCTGGGGGTGAGTGGGGAGGGGCCGGGGAGGGGTCGGTCTCCGGCGCTGAGGCCTCGCTCCCGCAGGGGAGAAGACCCAGGACCTGATCGGGGTGTCGGAGCTGATCATCTCCACGGCCGTGCAGGGCATCGTGTTCTGCCTGCTGGGCGCCCAGCCGCTGCTCGTCATCGGCTTCTCCGGGCCCCTGCTCGTCTTCGAAGAAGCTTTTTTCACAGTGAGTTCAGGACTCCTGGGAGGACCCCGAAGCCCCCCATTATCCCCTGATAGCCCCCGGAGCCACCCGTTACCCTCCAGAACCCCCGAGAGTGGCTCAGAGCCCCCTGATAGCCCCCGGAACCTCCCATTACCCCCAAAGCCCCCAGAACCCCCAGATAGCCCCTAGGAGCCCCCCATTACTTCCCAGAGCTCCCCACAATCCCCAGTAGCCTCCCAGAGCCTCCTGGAGCCCCCAACAGCCCCCAAGAGACCCCCCAGAACTCTCAGCAGCCCCCCAGAACTCCCTGATAGTCCCCCAGAAACCCTGTTTGTCCCCTAGAGTGCCCTGCTAGTTTGCTGGAGCCCCAATAATCTCCTGTCTCTCCCTAAACTGACACCCCTCCCTATCCCCCCCGAGCTCCAACCTCCCCCATGGTCCCCTGTAGCCCTGTGAGACCTTCATGAACCCCCCCCAGCCTCCCAGCACCCCCACTTCCCCGGCAGCCTCCAGAGAGCCCCAGGTCCCAGGGGGTGTCTTGGAGAACCCCTCTGTACAGGGCAGCGGCTGGGCACGGGGCCGGAGTCGGGGGTCGTGCTGGCTCCTGATGTCCTGTACCGTAACCCTGGAGCAGACCCACGGCTCAGGCTCCCTGCCAGCCCCAGAGACCCTGCCCCCCCCAGCCCCTGCGCCCCCAGTGCTGCGTATTCTTCCCCCAGCCTGCCCTGCCCCTCGATCCCCACCACCCGTTCTGCTCCTGCTGCCCCTGGAACAGCGTCCCAGAGAACTTGCCTGGGGGGCAGGGAGGGGAGCCCTTGGCCAGGGGCGCGGAGCAGGCCCCCCTCACTGTGGGCTGTGCCCCGGCAGTTCTGCACGACCAACGGGTTGGAGTACCTGGTGGGGCGCGTGTGGATCGGCTTCTGGCTCATCCTCATCGTGCTGGTGATGGTGGCTGTGGAGGGCAGCATCCTGGTGCGCTTCGTATCCCGCTTCACCCAGGAGATCTTCGCCTTCCTCATCTCCCTCATCTTCATCTACGAGACCTTCTCCAAGCTGGCCAAGGTGAGAGCCTGGGTGGCTGAGCCCAGCCAGCCAAGGCCGGGGGGATCCCACGCTGGGGTGGACAGCTGGATCTGGAGTCGGCGGAGTGCGGGGGGGTTGTGGGGGCTGGAGGGGGCAGGGTATGGAGGGCTGGGCTGGCTGGAGTGGGCGAGACATGGGGTCTGGAGGACGTGGGGGGCCTTGGGGGCTGGAGGGGGTGGGGCGTGGGGGGCTGTCCTGGCTTGAGGGCCTGGGGGGCCGTGGGGGCTGGAGGGGGTGGGGCATGGGAGGCTGTCTTGGCTGGAGGGGGTGGGGCGTGGGGGGTGTCCTGGCTGGAGGGCATGGGGGGCCGTGGGGGCTGGAGGGGGTGGGGCATGGGGGGCTGTCCTGGCTGGAGGGCGTGGGGGGCCGTGGGGGCTGGAGGGGGTGGGGCGTAGGGGGCTGTCCCGGCTGGAGGGCCTGGGGGGCTGTGGGCAGGGTCTCAGGCCCCCATGATCTCCTGGCAGATCTTCCAGGAGCACCCCCTGCACGGCTGCGGGCAGGCGAACGGGACGGGCGCAGAGGCGCTGGGCGGGGGCAATGGCAGCGCGGCCCTGGGGAACGGGACGTGGGGCCGGGCCGGGCCGGCAGTGACAGGGCAGCCCAACACAGCCCTGCTCTCGCTGGTGCTCATGGCCGGCACCTTCTTCATCGCCTTCTTCCTGCGCAAGTTCAAGAACAGCCGCTTCTTCCCGGGACGGGTATGTGGGTGGGGCAGCCGAGGGGCCGTGGGGGAGGCTGGGCATGGGGGGCTGGAGGAGAAGGGCTGGAGCAGAGCTGTGGGGTGGGAGGAAGGGGCAGGCTGGGGCAGAGCTGGGGGCAGGGTTTGCTGGGGGCAGGGAAGGGCAGAGCTGGGCGCCGGGTTCGCTGGAGGGTAGGGGGGGCTGAGCCCGGGGCAGGGAGAGGTGCTAGGGGGCAGGGAGGGGCAGAGCTGGCGGCAGGCCCCTGCAGGTTGTGCCATGGCAGGGGGCAGGGCTCCTGGGGGGCAGGCAGAGTTTGCTGGGGGCAGGGCTCCTGGGGCCTGCCCTGGCCAGTGCTGACCCGCTCTCTGCAGATCCGTCGGGTGATCGGGGACTTCGGGGTGCCCATCGCCATCCTCATCATGGTGCTGGTGGATTTCAGCGTCCGGGACACGTACACACAGGTTAGTGGGGCGGGGAGGGGCCTGCAGGCCCACGGCCCCGTGTCAGGGACCCACAGGCTCTGTGCTGTGCCTTGGCCTGCAGACACCCCCTAGGGGGACCCCTCAGCTGCCCTACACCCAGGGGTCCCCCTCTCCATGGAGCCTCAGGGCTCCAGCCTTCCTGCTGCCTCCCGCAAGCTCTGCCCAGCGAGTCCCACTGAGCTGGGGGAGCCTCTTGCTCTCCGTGGGGACCGACGCACCCAGCTAGGTCTGGCCCCGGCAGCAGGAGCCTTTCCCCCAGAGCAGGTTGTCGACCCCTGGGACACCGCCCGGGAAGCCCGGAGAGCCAGCGGCTCAGCCCTGGTGCGGACTGGCCAAGCCTGGAGCTGGGGACCCGCCTGGTTCCGTCTCCCTGTCCCCGTGTCTGTACGCCCTGGGTGGAGCCGGCGTCCGCCAGCCTGGCCCTGTTCCCACAGGCACTGGCTGCCTTGGGTTCGTCCCCACCACTGCCCAGCCTGCCCTGTGGCACCAAATTCCCGCAGCCGGGTGGATTCCCCCTGGATGCCCCACGGCCTTGGCTCCGGACTGCCAGCCCTAGGGGGATGGGGACGGGGACAGTGCCCTGGAGATGGGGCACTGGGGCATTACCGCCATTCCCACTTTGGTCCCAGCCTCCTGCCCCCTGTCCCCCATCTCACCATCCCTGCTTATGCCTGCCCCCGCCCCCTTCCCTCCTGCCCCCATTGCTTCACCCGTTCACTTCCCTGGTCCTTCTCCCATGAGCAGAGAACAGCAATCCCCGAAGTCCAAAGGTGCAAACAATCTGATGTTTATTGGGGTGAACTTCCAGCAAACATGATTCCAGTTTCCTTCCTTAGGGTCCCCCTTCCCAGCTCTGACACCACAGAGCCTTACCTGTGTCCCTGTTCCCATTCCCCCCTCAGCAAAACATGATTCTAATTTCCCCACCCCCATTCCCTGTTCCCATTCCCCCCCCCACCTTACTTCCTGATTGACTGCAGACTATATAGTAAAACTTGAGTTCTGCTTAGCTATACCTTAACCAGCCATTTTACTGAAATTTAGCTAACCAATCCTAACATATTGTAACATGATTATTTAACCAATTAAATCTCACCATCTTAATTAGTTTACACCCAGCAAAATTAATTATACAGCAGACAGAAACAATCATAGAATCATAGAATATCAGGGTTGGAAGGGACCTCAGGAGGTCATCTAGTCCAACCCCCTGCTCAAAGCAGGACCGATCCCCAATTAAATCATCCCAGCCAGGGCTTTGTCAAGCCTGACCTTAAAAACTTCTAAGGAAGGAGATTCTACCACCTCCCTAGGTAACACATGACAGTGTTTCACCACCCTCCTAGTGAAAAAGTTTTTCCTAATATCCAACCTAAACCTCCCTCACTGCAACTTGAGACCATTACTCCTTGTTCTGTCATCTTCTACGACTGAGAACAGTCTAGAGCCATCCTCTTTGGAACACCCTTTCAGGTAGTTGAAAGCAGCTATCAAATCCCCCCTCATTCTTCTCTTCCGCAGACTAAACATCCCCAGTTCCCTCAGCATCTCCTCATAAGTCATGTGTTCCAGTCCACTAATCATTTTTGTTGCCCTCCGCGGGACTCTTTCCAATTTTTCCACATCCTTCTTGTAGTGTGGGGCCCAAAACTGGACACAGTACTCCAGATGAGGCCTCACCAATGTCAAATAGAGGGGAACAATCATGTCCCTCGATCTGCTGGCAATGCCCCTGCTTATACATCCCAAAATGCCATTGGCCTTCTTGGCAACAAGGGCACACTGTTGACTCATATCCAGCTTCTCGTCCACTATAACCGCTAGGTCCTTTTCTGCAGAACTGCTGCCGAGCCATTCGGTCCCTAGTCTGTAGCGGTGCGTTGGATTCTTCCGTCCTAAGTGCAGGACTCTGCACTTGTCCTTGTTGAACCTTATCAGATTTTTTTTGGCCCAATCCTATAATTTGTCTAGGGCCCGCTGTATCCTATCCCTACCCTCCACTGTATCTCCCTCTCCTCCCAGTTTAGTGTCATCTGCAAACTTGCTGAGGGTGCAATCCACACCATCCTCCAGATCATTTATGAAGATATTGAACAAAACCGGCCCCAGGACCGACCCTTGGGGCACTCCACTTGATACCGGCTGCCAACTAGACATGGAGCCATTGATCACTACCTGTTGAGCCCGACAATCTAGCCAGCTTTCTATCCACCTTATAGTCTTTTCATCTAGCCCATACTTCTTTAACTTGAGGGCAAGAATACTGTGGGAGACAGTGTCAAAAGCTTTGCTAAAGTCAAGGAACAACACGTCCACTGCTTTCCCTTCATCCACAGAGCCAGTTATCTCGTCATACAAGGCAATGAGATTAGTCAGGCATGACTTGCCCTTGGTGAATCCATGCTGACTGTTCCTGATCACTTTCCTCTCATGTAAGTGCTTCAGGATTGATTCCTTGAGGACCTGCTCCATGATTTTTCCGGGGACTGAGGTGAGGCTGACTGGCCTGTAGTTCCCAGGATCCTCCTTCTTCCCTTTTTTAAAGATGGGCACTACATTAGCCTTTTTCCAGTCGTCCGGGACTTCCCCCGATCGCCATGAGTTTTCAAAGATAATGGCCAATGGCTCTGCAATCACATCCGCCAACTCCTTTAACACTCTCAGATACAACGCATCCCCCCCCATGGACTTGTGCTCGTCCAGCTTTTCTAAATAGTCCCGAACCACTTCTTTCTTCACAGAGGGCTGGTCACCTCCTCCCCATGCTGTGCTGCCCAGTGCAGTAGTCTGGGAGCTGACCTTGTTTGTGAAGACAGAGGCAAAAAAAGCCTTGAGTACATTAGCTTTTTCCACATCCTCTGTCACTAGGTTACCTCCCTCCTTCAGTAAGGGGCCCACACTTTCCTTGACTTTCTTCTTGTTGCTAACATACCTGAAGAAACCCTTCTTGTTACTCTTAACGTCTCTTGCTAGCTGCAACTCCAGGTGTGATTTGGCCTTCCTGATTTCACTCCTGCATGCCCGAGCAATATTTTTATACTCATCCCTGGTCATTTGTCCAATCTTCCAGTTCTTATAAGCTTCTTTTTTGTATTTAAGATCAGCAAGGATTTCACTGTTAAGCCAAGCTGGTCGCCTGCCATATTTCAGAGTATTTACTATTCTTTCTACACATCGGGATGGTTTGTCCCTGTAACCTCAATAAGGATTCTTTAAAATACAGCTAGCTCTCCTGGACTCCTTTCCCCCTCATGTTATTCTCCCAGGGGATCTTGCCCATCAGTTCCCTGAGGGAGTCAAAGTCTGCTTTTCTGAAGTCCAGGGTCGGTATTCTGCTGCTTTCCTTTCCTCCTTGTGTCAGGATCCTGAACTCGACCATCTCATGGTCACTGCCTCCCAGGTTCCCATCCACTTTTGCTTCCCCTACTAATTCTTCCCGGTTTGTGAGCAGCAGGTCAAGAAGAGCTCTGCCCCTAGTTGGTTCCTCCAGCACTTGTACCAGGAAATTGTCCCCTACAGTTTCCAAAAACTTCCTGGATTGTCTGTGCACCGCTGTATTGCTCTCCCAGCAGATGTCAGGGTGATGGAAGTCTCCCATGAGAACCAGGGCCTGCGATCTAGTAACTTCTGCAAGTTGCTGGAAGAAAGCCTCGTCCACCTCGTCCCGCTGGTCTATAGTAGACTCCTACCATGACATCACCCTTGTTGCTCACACTTCTAAACTTAATCCAGAGACTCTCAGGTTTTTCTGCAGTTTCATACTTGAGCTCTGAGCAGTCATACTGCTCCCTTACATACAGTGCAACTCCCCCACCTTGTCTGCCCTGCCTGTCCTTCCTGAACAGTTTATAACCATCCATGACAGTACTCCAGTCATGTGAGTTATCCCACCAAGTCTCTGTTATTCCAATCACATCCTAATTCCTTGACTTTGCCAGGACTTCCAGTTCTCCCTGCTTGTTTCCCAGGCTTCTTGCGTTTGTGTATAGGCACTTGAGATAACTCGCTGATCGCCCCCAATCACAGAACCAGACAGAGACTGTATAGACAAACAATAGGGAAATGGGGGCTACACTGTTTGGACAAACACAGAAATGAGGATTTCACATCCCAGCTATTGATAAGTGAGTTCTTGCCAGACAGGATGCTACCAAACTAAGTTTCCTTTTACATCTTCTAGGCACTTCCCTTTCTCTGGAGGCGACAGGCATTATCAGGACAGGATTGTATCCTAACAGCCCAATAGCACCTGATTTCAATGGGACTAGTTTGGAATGTGAGGACATGACCAGTCGCTTCCCAGCTTATGGCTGCCTCTGCTGCTTAGCCAAAGGCCTTAGCCTAAGCACAGGGCCTCAGACTGTCACAGGGAGAGAAGGCCCTTGCACCGGCCGACAGTGATTTTGATTCTTTCTTTTATACCTCTATAACTAGCTAAGTGATAAGAATACAGCTAAATTCTTAGTGTATAGGCCTTTACAGCCAGGCCTGAATATCTAGATCCTAACACTCCACTCCTTTTTTTTCTTTTTCTTTTGGGATCCTCCTGCCCAGGTATCCCTGGAAAAGCATAGGACATATGGCGACACATTTCCTGATAGGGCCAGGCATCAAGGTGGAAGGTGTTGCTATTCCATCTGTCCCACTGCTCCTTGTGTAGTATAGTGCCCTGCACCTTCTCTCGTACGGCCATACCACACCTATTCCAATTAGTGTTCCAGACTTCCCATTACAGTGGGCCCGAGAAGGTTGGGTCCGGGTTGTCCAGTACACTGTAGGGTTTGGAGGGCTTATTACATTCCTGATAGGTTATCTCCCTATGCAACGTAACACAAGTACAGTTAACAATACAAAATCCACAGCAACACTGAGTCCTGACCACTGCAGTATGGTCCAACATCCGAGACACCCTCTCCTCCTTCGACGGGGCCACGATCTTATGTGTCCAGTTGCTGGCAGTTGCAACAAGCTGCCCCTGCAAATTTTGCATACTTTTGTCCATATCATAAGTCCACTGAATGTTCACAGAGAAATGGGTTATTCTCCAAACCAGCTTGACCACTTGGTATGGAATCAGGCCATATGCCCTGGTTTGATTATTCACAGCAATAAGATTCACAGATCCATTTGTGCACCAAAGTCCAGACAGCAGCGTGTAGCTGTGTGTAGTTTGGTTATGGGCTGGTGTAATTGCGCCCCCAGTAATATGTACATTCCCAGCAAAACACCTTATACACGGTACACCCAACTGTCCACCCCTTGCACAGGCCGTTGATCCTGCTCCACCATAGTCACAGGAGAGGGGCACATCCAAACATCTTCTCTTGATTCACACTCTTTTACACACCCCTCCACTGATTCCCAGTGAGCTCCTCCCCTTTTCATTATTCCCATAGGGCTTGTGGGGGTCACCTTAGTTACCGTTCCATTTCCAGGTTCCACGGTAGCTATTACACAGGTGCTGGCCTCCTAGTTGAGCATTTTGCATTCCCATACACATCTCCCCCACAAGGTCAGCCTTTTGAAGCCATCCCCCACCCATGCATGAGGTTTTCTGTTCATTAAAACACAACAGTGCTAGCAACAAGACAAACACCACAGACAAACAACACAAAACATAGATCCATGGTATTCTGGGTTATTTTTCTGCTGGCGCCAGCTTTCTTGTAGAGTGTCTGAAAAACAAAAGAAACAATTTCCACCCCCCCGGTGGGGATAGACTATTGCTTAATAATAATACCACTTCCTCTTACAAATTTCCTTGCTAATTGCAGGAAAAACAGAATAATTACCTCCAGGCTGTCCTTATTTTGTTTTATAATCAGGCTAGTGAATTACCCCACTCACTGGTCATTTATGAAATTCATGAGGTGGTGTACCTCAGTTTCCCCTCTTGTACAACAGACCAAGTTTGCAATAGTTTCTCTGCTGTACCAAGCTTTATGTTTATTCTCAGGTAATAGCTGAGACACCGCTTCAGATTTTAGCACTGTACACACACACACACACACACACACACACACCCCTTAAGGTTAACCTGTTCCCCTTATTTGCAGGCTTGACTCGTTTTTTCACCTCCCTTTTCTGGAGGGCCATAATCTGAGTCTTCTAGTAGCTGGTTTGCTGACCAGATGTATTCATTATCTGCAGCTCCTTTGTGCCCATCAGCTAGGTAATTTGCATTTACACAGAGGCTTTCCAGCTTGCTTTTGGATCCAAAGCTGCTAGCAGCTCAGAGACTGTCTTAAAAGGGAAACATTCCACTTCCACTAGAGTTCTGATTACTTTCCACTTTCATCTCCTGCTCCGAAACACACAGAGATCTGAAAAAGAAAGCTCAACCTATTCTGGCTCCTTTTGGAGCCCTATTAGGATTTTATTTAAGTACCATGTTTTGTTTGCATTTCTTTTACCCCTTCTCCAATATACACTGCACACGTGCTGGGAAAATGCACATTCCTTCCATATAGTTTAACCTCCACAACATTATATTAGCCATATTAATTTTACACATGGTGTAACTGCCTCCCCCATGCCCACAGAGTTTTCATGCACACCCACCAAAGCGACAGTCCAATCCCCCAGAGCCACCCCAAGGCTCAGTGTTCCCATCATTGCTCCCCTTTTCCTTTTCTTTTACCTGTGCACACACACAAAATTCTTTTTTGCCTAATATTCCTTGCACTGTGATTACTCTTTTACACAACTGTACCCCGATTACACTCCCATCTTGTACAACTAGAGACCGTCAGGGGCAGCTAAGTTAGGTTCCACTAGAAACCCCTTACATTCCTTTAGTGATTTTGATTCTTTCTTTTATACCTCTATAACTAGCCAAGTGATAAGAATACACCTAAATTCTTAGGGTATGTCTACACTACGAAATTAGGTCGAATTTATAGAAGTCGTTTTTTTAGAAATCGGTTTTATATATTCGAGTGTGTGTGTCCCCACAGAAAATGCTCTAAGTGCAGTAACTCGGCGGAGTGCTTCCACAGGACCGAGGCAAGCGTCGACTGCCGGAGCGTTGCACTGTGGGTAGCTATCCCATTGGAATTCTGGGTTGAGATCCCAATGCCTGATGGGGCTAAAACATTGTCGCGGGTGGTTCTGGGTACATATCGTCAGGCCCCCGTTCCCTCCCTCCCTCCGTGAAAGCAAGGGCAGACAATCGTTTCGCGCCTTTTTTCCTGAGTTACCTGTGCAGACGCCATACCACGGCAAGCATGGAGCCCGCTCAGCTCACTGTCACCGTATGTCTCCTGGGTGCTGGCAGACGTGGTACGGCATTGCTACACAGCAGCAGCAACCCCTTGCTTTGTGGCAGCAGACGGTGCAATTGGACTGGTAGCCGTCATCGTCATATCCGAGGTGCTCCTGGTGGCCTGTGTGAGGTCGATCAGGAGCGCCTGGGCAGACATGGGCGCAGGGACTAAATTTGGAGTGACTTGATCAGGTCATTCTCTTTAGTCCTGCAGTCAGTCCTATTGAACCATCTTATGGTGAGCAGGCAGGCGATACGGATTGCTAGCAGTCCTGTTGCATCATCTTCTGCCGGGCAGGCAAGAGATGAGGATGGCTAGCAGTCCTATTGTACCATCTTCTGCCGAGCAGCCATGAGATGTGGATGGCATGCAGTTTTTCTGCACCGTCTGCTGCCAGCCAAAGATGTAAAAGATAGATGGAGTGTATCAAAACAAGAAATAGACCAGATTTGTTTTGTACTCATTTGCAAACCCCCACCCCCCGTCTAGGGGACTCATTCCTCTAGGTCACACTGCAGTCACTCACAGAGAAGGTGCAGCGAGGTAAATCTAGCCATGTATCAATCAGAGGCCAGACTAACCTCCTTGTTCCAATAAGAACAATAACTTAGGTGCACCATTTCTTATTGGAACCCTCCGTGAAGTCCTGCCTGAAATATTCCTTGATGTAAAGCCACCCCCTTTGTTGATTTTAGCTCCCTGTAAGCCAACCCTGTAAGCCGTGTCGTCAGTCGCCCCTCCCTGCGTCAGAGCAACGGCAAACAATCGTGCATCTGAGTTGAGAGTGCTGTCCAGAGCAGTCACAATGGAGCACTCTGGGGTAGCTCCCGGAGGCCAGTACCGTCGAATTGTGTCCACAGTACCCCAAATTCGACCCAGCAAGGCCGATTTAAGCTCTAATCCACTTGTCAGGGGTGGAGTAAGGAAATCGATTTTAAGAGCCCTTTAAGTCGAAATAAAGGGCTTCATTGTGTGGACAGGTGGAGGTTTACATCAATTTAACGCTGCTAAATTCGACCTAAAGTCCTAGTGTAGACCAGGGCTTAGAGTATAGGCCTTTACAGCCAGGCCTGAATATCTATAGCCTAACACCCCACACCTCCCCATCCCCCCTCACGCCTGTCCCACTGCTGCCATACTCCTGCTCCCCATCCCCCCCTCATGCCTGCCCCCGTCCCCCCTGCCCACACCTCCCCATCCCTCCTCACGCCTGCCCCCCATCTCCATCCCCCTGTCCCTCCACATGCCTGCTCCCCCATCTTCAGCACGTCCCCTCCTGACCCCATCCCCCATTGCCCCCTGTGCCGAGGGCCCCCCCCCGATTGGGTCTCATGGCCCCCCCATTCCCCCCACAGAAGCTGAGCGTTCCCAGCGGCTTCTCAGTGACGGCCCCGGAGAAGCGGGGCTGGGTCATCAACCCCCTGGGCGAGGGCAGCTCCTTTCCCGTCTGGATGATGGTGGCCAGCGCCCTGCCAGCCGTGCTGGTCTTCATCCTCATCTTCATGGAGACCCAGATCACCACGTGAGCCGAGCCGCCTGCAGGCGGGGGATGTGTGTGTGTGGGGGAGGGGGGGGCATGGCAATGTGGGGGGGCTAAGGGGGGGAGGCCCCGGGCTGGGGGTGGGTCGTGGGGCAGGCCCTGATTCTCCAGTGCCCCCCCAGGCTGATCATCAGTAAGAAAGAGCGCATGCTGCAGAAGGGCTCTGGCTTCCACCTCGACCTGCTGCTGATTGTGGCCATGGGCGGCTTCTGCGCCCTCTTTGGGCTGCCCTGGCTGGCGGCCGCCACGGTGCGCTCGGTGACCCACGCCAACGCCCTGACAGTCATGAGCAAGGCCGTGGCCCCCGGCGACAAGCCCAAGATCCAAGAGGTGAAGGAGCAGCGCGTCACGGGGCTGCTGGTGGCCCTGCTTGTGGGTGAGTCCCGCCGGCCGCCCCATCTCCCCAGCCCACTGCCGACCGGGAGAGTGGCTCACTGGGCAGGCAGAGCTCAGACACAGCTGTGGGGCCGGGGGTTGCTTTGGGACATGGGGGGGCAATCTGGGGAAGCCCTGGGGCTTGTGGGGGTGGGTGTCACAGACCCACAGCGTCGGGGCTGCACCCCCAGCTTTGGAACGGTTTCTAGGAGGCCCCTTCGCTTCCCCATGAGTCTCACGTTCCCTCCCCTGGGCTCTGCACACAGCTCTGCCCCATTCTGGGAGCGTGTGGGGAGCCTGTCTGGCACAGGAGACACTATCCCTGGCAGCTGGCCTAGGGGTAGGCCAGGGACAGGGCTGGGGTGGGGGTGGGGGGGCAGTGTGAGCCTGTCACGGACCCACAGGTTTGGGGTTGTACCCCCAGCTTTGGAGCAGTCTCTGGGAGGCCCCTTCTCTGTGCCAGCCCCCCGGGGGTTCTTGCTCTTCCTCCAGGGTGAGCCACGCGGCCTCACCACCCCCTAGACTGGCCCTCTGGGCCTGCAGCTCCCCCCCCATCCCCACGAGCTCCAGGCAGCAAGTCCCCCGGAGACAGCCCCTGAGGGAGACTCAGCTGCTCTGCAGGGATCAGGGCCCCTCGCCCAGCCCCTGGAGGGACCCTCCCAGTGCGGGCACAGCTGGGGTCACTCGTTAGCTGGGGCCCGGCCTAGGGGGCCCTTAGGGCAGCCCGGGGCAATGAAGGGTGAAGCAGGGTCCGTCCTGGCCAGCCCCAAGCCCAGCCTGGCTGTGGGGAACTCTCGGGTCCGGCTCTGTCTGTCTGGGTGGCCTCCTTGGTCAGACTCCTTCCAGCCCCCGACTCTTGTCCCCACCTTCCTGCTCCTAGCCCCGAGTTCTCCAGCGGGGATCCTTGTTCAGTCCCCCCTGCGGGGGAGAGGTCCATCCCCCTTGGGGCCGTGGGTTCCTGGGTGTCCCTATCGGGGTGCTTGGATTTGCCATTCTCATGCTGCACTGAGATGGGGACCGGGGCCAGCCAGGGGACACCCGCCCCTGTGTCCTTAGCTAGCCCTGAGAGCAGACAGGTCCCTTCCCAAACTGGGCAACAATGCAGCATATGGGGAAACTGAGGCACAAACAAGACTCATTAAAACATTACACAATTACTCGCACGTTGTTATGGGAGTGAGTAGTGGTGGGAGGGGGCAGGTCAGTGTTTGCAGAGCGCATCGGGGGGTCAGCCAGGCAGTGGGGGTGGGGCCGAGTTGGGGGCAGGTAGCGGGGGCAGGGTTTGCAGAGAGCAGCGCCGGGGTGGGGGCGGAGAGCTCCCGTGGGCCCCAGGTGCCCTGGCGCCTTTAGCGGGTTCTCAGTGGCTGCCCCCGCACCCCGCCAGGCCTGTCCATCGTCATCGGGGACCTGCTGCGGCACATCCCCCTGGCCGTGCTCTTTGGGATCTTCCTCTACATGGGCGTGACCTCGCTGAACGGCATCCAGTTCTACGAGCGCCTGCACCTGCTGCTCATGCCCCCCAAGCATCACCCCGACGTCACCTACGTCAAAAAGGTCTGCGCAGGGCGGGGGAGGGGCACAGAGCCGGGCGGGGGGGGGGTATGTCCCATTGGGCAGTGGGGGGAGGGGGAACAGAGCTGGGGATGTCCCTTGGGCACTGGGGGGGGAGGGGCACAGAGCCAGCCGGGGGGCATGTCCCATTGGGCAGAGCCGGGGGAGGGGGCACAGAGCTGGGTGGGGGGGCCATGTCCCCTTGGGCACAGCCGGGGGAGGGGGCACAGAGCCAGCCGGGGGGCATGTCCCATTGGGCAGTGGGGGGGAGGGGGAACAGAGCCGGGCGGGGGGCATGTCCCATGGGGCAGTGGGGGGGAGGGGGAACAGAGCCGGGCGGGGGGCATGTCCCATTGGGTACTGGTTGGTGCCAGCTGTGGGGGGAATGGAGCCAGTACCAGGGGTCCCATTCCAAACTGCAGGGGGAGCGGGGTTGGAGGTCGCGTTGCGGGGGGAGCCAGCAGTGGGGATCTGGGGGGGCACAGAGCCAGCAGGGGCCCGCCTGCGGGGGCGGCGGGGAAAGCCGCTCTCTGCACTGGGCCCGGGGCGTTAACCCCCGTGCGGCTGCCCGGCCAGGTGCGCACCCTGCGGATGCATCTCTTCACGGGCCTGCAGCTGGCGTGCCTGGCCGTGCTCTGGGCCGTCATGTCCACGGCAGCCTCCCTGGCCTTCCCCTTCATCCTCATCCTCACCGTGCCGCTCCGCATGTGGCTGCTCACCCGCGTCTTCACCGACCGCGAGCTGAAGTGTGTAAGTCCCGTGTGGGGGGCCACAGGATGCCCTCAGGCGCCAGCCTCAGCCTGGCTGGGGGTAGGGGTGGGGGGAGCCGCCCCCACAGCCCACCGGGGTAGCTGGAGGGTCCAGCCACCCTGTGGCAATGGGAGGCTCTGCTGGGCCGCAGCAGGGGCCGGGGGGAGGCGATGGCTGGGCACGGGGGCGGGGGGCCGCAGCGGGGGCGGGGCGGGGGGCCGCAGCGGGGGAGGCGATGGCTGGGCACGGGGCGGGGGGACGCAGCGGGGGCGGGGGAGATGCCGGCTGGGCAGGGGGCGGGGGGACACAGCGGGGGAGGCGATGGCTCAGAGGTGGGGGGTGGTCTGGCAGCGCCGGGTGCTGCCTCAGCCCCGGCTCCCCACCCACCCGCCGCCGTTTGCTCCCCTCTCCCCCCAGCTGGACGCGGAGGAGGCGGAGCCGATCTTCGACGAGCGGGAAGGGGTGGACGAGTACAACGAGATGCCGATGCCCGTGTGAGGGGCGCCAGCCAGGGACCCTGTGCGGGGCTGCGGGCGCAGGCAGGCCCCTGCCGCTGTGCCAGGAGCCGCAGCGGCTGTGCCAGGAGCCGCAGCGGCACTGCCCGGACCTGCGCCCTCGCCAGCCCCGTGGCCGCTTGGACTGTGCCCAGCGCTCACCAGTGCCCGGGCCACAGCAGCCGCCAGACGCTCACCCCGCGGCCCGGGCTGCCCCCGGCCAGAGCAGCTGTTCACAGCGTCCGGCCCTGCGGGGGGCCTGCTACCCGCCCTGGGCTGGCGCAGGAGCAGGAGCAGCGGGGCCGTACCTGCTGCCCCCAGCCACTGCCGTCCGAACTGTATGGTGTGCTGGACCCCACCCCTGCTGGGGGGCTACAGGAACCCACCTCCCTGCTCCAGCCCGGGGCCCCACCCAGACAATCAGGTGTTTCCTAAATTCCATGGGGTTTTATTTAAGAGAATAATTTAACTGTCAATAAACAGCTTTCTAAGGAAGGTGCAGGGCCTGGCTTGGGGTTTCTGGGGGGTATACTGGCCGGGCGGGCAGCTCACCCACAGGCCTGGAGCAAGGCAGCTGCTGCACAGGGGGGTTCGGTGACCACGTTTGTGCGGCAAACCTGTGCCCAAGTCCGTGCGTCGCCCCTGCCCGCTTCAACCATCACGGGCCCCGGCCACAGCCGCAGGCTTGGCATGGCTGGGGCTGGACAGGAAGCCGCACAGTGCCCCTCCCCCCCACACGCTAGGCTGGGTTGTCGCTATGGGGCAAAATCAGGACTGCCCCGCACCCCTGAGAAAGCGGGGGGGAGGGGGGGCACAGCGCAGTGTGTTCCTGTCCTGCCCAGGGTCCCGCAGGACACATGTGGTTGCTCCAAGGACAGTTGGGGCTGGGGAGCGGCACCTCCCTCCCAGGCAGGGGGCACTCACTATGGCCAGACCATGCCACACTCTGCTCCTCCCCCCAGGAGGTGGGCCTAGGGCCAGACCCCTGGCAGGGTGCAGCAGGCACTGTCCCACCCCTGGGCCCCGGCCCTGGGGGCTGTGAACTCCTGGCACCAACAAACAGGACAGGACAGGGCAGATTTTTCTCCATTTTTATTGTAAACTTTGTCCCCCACCACCACAGCGGCACCTTGGGCTGGGCCTGGGGGCAAACAGCCCCTCCTCCAGGGAGCCAGCCCCTCCCCAGAGGCAAACAGCTCCAGGGCCCCCCTGCCAATGCGCTTCCAGCCACTCCTCCAGGCCCTGTGCAGCCCCCGGGGGAGAGGCAGGCAGCTCAGGGAGCCCTGCCCTGCCCTGCCCTGCCCTCCCCTCTGAGGATAAACAGACCAGTGCTTGTCCCCAGTGCACCCCCCCTTTGGCAGACAGGAGGCTCGTGGGTGGAGTAGCAGGCTCATCATACACTGCTCCCACTTGGGGCCGTGGCGCTGTCCCACCCGTTTACACCAGACACCCACCCCCATTGCTGCACCAGCCCGACCCCCAATCCCTCAGCAAATGCCAATAAATAATAGCCACACGCTACGCCCGCCACCACCAGCCCCACCGGCCGGCAGCCCCTGGCCCGGGAGCTGCCTTGCCCTCAGCCCCAGGGGAGGGAGGGAGCCTCCGGGAGCAGGCTCCTTGGCACGCGGAAGTGAGGTGGGTCTCTCGCCGTCACTGTGCCCCAGGGGCAGCGGCTGCTTTCAAAAGCGGAGCTCCCGCAGCTTCTGCCGCAGATAGTGCTTGGCCTCCTCGACACCGCTCACCTTCTCCAGCTCCATGTAGGGCAGCTGCACACAGGAGAGGAGGGTCACTTAGCACCAATGCCAGGCTGGGGCAGGGGCCTTTCCCCCTAGGGCACAAGAGCCTGGCTGGTGCAGGAGGGTAGGGGAATAGAATAGGGGCCTTTTCCACAAGCAGGGCCCAGCTCCCCTCCCCACCAGAGGAAGCGGCTCCAGCCCCACCTCGGGGTGCTTGGTGCATCTATTGAAACTCCTCCCCGCAAAAGCTGAGCTCAGGTGTTAGGGTTTGTGTGGGGGCTGCTGCTGGCCTGTGCAATCCAGGAGGTCAGACTAACATGAGCCCCTCCACGGAGCTATGTGTTAACCTAGAAGGCTGGCTGCAGGTGCCCCCGCGCTGGCCTGGCCCATTCCCGGATCGTAACCGGCTCCTGGCTACATGAATCGCTCCAAAGTGCAGGCAGCTCCTGTGCCAGAGCAGAATCTGTGGGCAGCAGAGATGGGGGGCCCAACGCTGCACGACCTGGTTCTTCCCCCCCCCCCCACCATGAGGGCATATGGGACACAGCAGCCACACCTGTCCCTCGCTGGATCCACAGACACAAGGTCACTGTGACCCCATCCGCCTACAAGGTCTGTCACTCTGCATCACAGCTGTGCTGCGGGACCGCAGCCTGGGGCCAGGCTAGCAGTTCCCAGACCAATGGGCCGGAGGCAGGTACCCTCAGGGCAGTTAGCTAAACAAGGATTGCAGAATGGCTCTCCCCATTTGCTGTCCCATCCCGCTGCCAGATCCAGGGTGGAGTGTGTGGTAAAAGGCTGGGCTGAGCACCAAGACAGGACAGTCCTCAGGACACTGAAATCGCCTAGCCACCAGCCGAGAGGGCTGCAATAGCTGAGGGAAAAGGCATAACTACTAGGTGACAGACTGATACAGGCGAGCTGGCTACTTACATAATCTCTGGGACGAGATGGCCTGGCACTTACAGGCTAGTAAGCCTAACTTCATTGCCAGGCAAACTGGTTGAAAGTGTAGCAAAGAATTATCAGACACACTGATGAATGCAATATGCTGTAGAGGAGTCAACATGGCTTTTGTAAAGGGAAATCATGCCTCACCAATCTACTAGAATTCTTTGAGGGGGTCAAGAAACATGTGAGCAAGGGTGATCTGATGGAAATAGTGTACTTGGACTTTCAGAAAACCTTTCACAAGGTCCCTCACCAAGGTTCTTAGGCAAAGTAAGCAGTCATGGGATAAGAAGGAAGGTGGTCTCATGGATCGGTAACTGCTTAAAACAGATGAAACAAAGGGTAGGAATAAATGATCAGTTTTCAGAATGAAGAGAGTTAAATAGTGGTGTCCCCCAGGGGTCTGTATTGGGACCAGTCCTATTCAACATATTCATAAATGATCTGGGAAAAGGGGTAAACAGTGAGGTGGCAAAGTTTGCAGATGATACAAAATTACTCAAGATAATTCAGTCCAAAGCAGACTGCAAAGATCTGTGAAGGGATGTCACAAAACTGGGTGACTGGGCAACAAAATAACAGATGAAATTCAATGTTGATAAATGCAAAGTAATGCACACAGGAAAACATAATCCCAACTATATGTATAAAATGATTGGGTCTAAATTAGCTGTTACCACTCAAGAAAGAGATCTTGGAGTCATTCATAGAATCATAGAATATCAGGGTTGGAAGGGACCTCAGGAGGTCATCTAGCCCAACCCCCTGCTCAAAGCAGGACCAATCCCCAACTAAATCATCCCAGCCCGGGCTTTGTCAAGCTGGGCCTTAAAAACCTCAAAGGGAAGAGATTCCACCACCTCCCTAAATAACCCATTCCAGTGCTTCACCACCCTCCTAGTGAAATAGTGTGATGAAGTGAGAATGTTCTTAATGTTTTCTCTGAATACTGTATGGATGCCTCAATTTCCCCTATGCAGATCTTAAGTATCTAGGTGGCGGGATAAGGGTGTGTGATTGGGGCAGAGCCCTAGAGGGCCAGTGTGATGGAGTCTGCACAGAGAATGGCTGACACCCTGTCTCCTGGCCACTGATGGCCTGGGCCTCTCCTCTGCAAAGGTGCCAACTGAAGGGGTTGGAGAACAAAGAGATCAGGTGGCCTCCTGGCCCGGGAAAGAGACAAAGGTGAGAGCAGGGGTGGGCGAGTTTCAGTTTTGGAGCTGGCTGGGGAAATGGAGGGAGGCTCAGATGGGGCTCTGACCTCCCTGCCCCCAAAGATGGACCTGACTGAGGTGTCCTGTTCTCTGTACCTACAAGCTCTGTTTTAGACCATGTTCCTGTCATCTAATAAACTGGCTGGCTGAGAGTCACGTCTGACTGCGGAGTTGGGGTGCAGGGCCCTTTGGCTCTCCCAGAGCCCCGCCTGTGTGGACTCGCGGTGGGAAGCGCACGGTGTGGACGGGGATGCTGAATGCTCTGATGTCAGCCCCAGAAAGGTCGAAATTGTGTGAGCTTCTTGCCCTAGGGAGAGGAGGCTTCCCCAGAGTCCTGACTGGCTTCATATGGAGTAGTTTCAGAGCAGTGCCTGGGGACTCTGTGACAAACAGTATTTCCAAATATCCAACCTAGACCTCCCCCATTGCAACTTGAGACCAGCGCTCCTTGTCCTGTCATCTGCCACCACTGAGATCTTGGAGTCACTGTGGATAGTTTTCTGAAAACATCCACTCAATGTGCAGCAGCAGCCAAAAAAGTGAACAGAATGTTGGGAATCATTAGGACAGGGAGAGATAATGAGACAGAAAATATCGTATTGCCTCTGTATAAATCCATGGTACACCCACACCTTGAATACTGTGTGCAGGTCTGCTCACCCCATCTCAAAAACAATGTATTAGAAGTGGAAAAGGCACAGAGAAGGGCAACAAAAATGATTAGGGGTATGGAACAGCTTCCATATGAGGAGAGATTAATAAAACTGACTTTTCAGCTTGGAAAAGAGACGACTAAGGGGGGAATATGACAGAGGCCTGTAAAACCATGGCTGGTGTGGAGAAAGTGAATAGGGAAGTGATATAGACCCCTTCACCTAACACAAGAACCAGGGGTTACCTAATGAAATTAATAAGCAGCAGGTTTAAAACAAACAAAAGTATTTCTTCACACAACACACAAACCTATGGAACTCCTTGCCAGGGGATGTTGTGAAGGCCAAGACTGTAACAGGGTTCAAAAAAGAAGTAGATAAGTTCATGGAGAGTAGGTCCATCAATGGCTATTAGCCAGGATGGGCAGGGACAGAACCCCATGCCCTGGGTGTCCCTAAACGTCTGACTACCAGAAGCTGGGAGTGGACAACATGAGACAGATCACTTGATAATTATCTTGTTCTGTTAATTCCCTCTGAAGCACCTGGC